AAATTGTAGTTTGTGTAATTGTAGTTATTCAATAAAACGCAAGTGAATTGTCTGATACATTGTCTGATTCTAAGACAAAAGTCAATGTTTCAGTATGCATTAGTTCAGTGTTTCTCAACCTTGACAATTTTAAGGCATGTGGATTTCAACTCCCAGAATTCCACAGCCAACATTGCTGGGAGTTGAAGTCCACATGCCTTAAAATTGTCAAGGTTGAGAAACACTGCATTAGTTGGACTTGCATAACATACTAAACAACCTGTATTATAGTTTACTATGATGTGTAGATTTGATAAGCAAATGACTTATTTTCATATAGTCATGAATAGTAATCTGATAAACTAAAGATAAAAGAACTGAGAAATTTTAGAATTAAGCAGATACTATCCAACATAATGATTTGGCTATTGGTAACTGAGGGCTAAATATGCAGTTGTGCCTGCATGAAATATACAGACTAATACTGTCTAACAATTCTTTCCACAATGAAACCAAGGAAAGATTATTGTAGTGATTAAGGGGCAACCATTATATGGCAAAAAGTTTGTTTCAGAGGATTTTGGATTAAGAATTTCTTTTAAAAATGCTTTTTCAATCTGTACCTATTCTCTACTATGACCAGCAATACTCTTCTATTGTATTTTTAAATTTTATTTTGTATTATTGTATATTTTGCATAGAGTATTTTGTAGTATGGGACCAGGTTATCTGAGGAACTGCCTTGGCTTATCTTACTTGATCTGGTCCAAGGGTACTCTGTGTGCCCCACTGGTAAAGAGTTTTGACTAGCAGGAGAGTCTTTTCTGCTGTGGTCTTTTGAATATTTTGCTACCTGAGGCGAGGTCTGTCCCGACCCTTTTAGCTTTCCAGAATAGCACATTAAAACCTGGCTTTCCAGTTGGCCTGAGGAAGCTCTATGTTGAAGGAAACTGGTAGACTTACAGAAGAGATGCAGCCACCTTATCAATCTTGCTTTCATGTATCTATATTTAATGTTTTGATATTTTTATGATTTTAATTGTGAGCTGCCCAATGTCACTTTGCAGGGTGAGATGAGCAACATATAAATTTAATTAATAAATATTTTCTCATTTTTAAGGAATAACCCTTGTTGCAATGACCTTTGCTTTTAAAGACAAAGAGAAAAATGATTTTAAACTTGAGCCTTAATTTTTTTAAAAGAGTACCAAGTATTAGCTCTGCAATAGAAAAAATTAAGTATTCAGTTGCCAGTTAACTTAAGCAAGCAACTTTTCATACTATGTTTAAAATTTCATTAAAAGGTTTAATCTAGTAATATTTTTGAACTAAACATTTTAACCTGTTTAGTTTAAGTATTGCCAGAATTTATTCATTCAGCAAAAACCTAGGAAAGGTATATGAATGGATCTTTGTTTTTCTGATTTATTTCAATAACTAGAATTTGCTTAAAGCTACATTCTCTCTGCTTTGAGTGTTGCCATCTAGTCAAGTTTCATGTAAAATGAATGTAAACCCTTGGCTGTGCATAGAAAAAGTGTGTGTAGGTCTTTAGCATTGCTCAAGATCATGCAGTTTGTGCAAAACAGGTTTTTGATTTGTTGAATATTTATATTGTTTTGTAGATGATATTGTAGGAGAAGAGCAGGCAGAGCTGGGGGATGGAGTTAAGCATCCATCAGCTTAGAATGGTTACATTGTCACAAATAGTTCATGTACAACCCCTCTTGAATTCTGTTAACCCTCATCTGGTGCCAATTTAATATTGAACTTAATTTGACTAGATTCTTGTGTATAACTTGAGTAATAAACCTTTTGAATTGCAATTTAATGTATAATCCTGATTCTTTTCACATGACATTAATATAGTCAATTCAAGACTTGTATCATTTGTGGCAACATAACTATTCTAAGTTATGACATGCTTAACTCTTCCTCTCAGCTCTGCCTGCTCTTCTCCTACAGATATTTTTGCATAAAACGCTCCGTTTATTCATTGCAGATTTTGCTGTTATATGGTATTGTGTTGTAGCTAACATTAATACAGAAATTTATGTAGTTACTTAGTTGCTAAAATAAATAAGTAAAAACTTAAATAGGCATTTAGCCTTCAAGATGTTCCTCAATGGACAAATCATATTGACATCCACTCTTAATTATTCCCAATGAAGAACACATCCATAAAGTAAAAGCATTCAGCGTTCAGAACTAGAATGTACGGAAACATTTTGGTAGTTTGGTAACTGGGCAGAAGGGAAAAACTATTGGGAAAACACTTCTCAGTATACATGTAGTCCTCACTTACCTTGTTTAGTAACCATTTGAAATTATGGAGGGTAAATAGAGGGGGAAAAACAGCTTTGTGACCAGTCCTGTCTTCTTGGGCTACATCACCATTTGGGTGCTTTGCAATAGGCATGCATTTACGACCATAGCAGCATTCCATGGCCATGTGATCACCATTTGTGAGTTTCACAAACTTGCTTCTGACAAGCAGACTTAATGGAGAATGTGGAACCAGAACTGCATGTTGCAGTCACCTGATGTCTCACTTAGCAGTGGAAGCAATAGAGTTGCTGATCCCAGTCGTGGTTGATAAGCTTTGTTCCTCTCCAGTTGATTAGCTCCTGATTCTTTTAATGATTAATGGTGGTTAAGGTTGTTTTTAGCTCTGTTATCTTTTAGCCATAGCTCTTTAAATAATTAATATGTTAGATTATCTACAATCGAATTTTGCATACAAATGTTTACCTATATGTTGTTAAACATGAGAACATTTTTTATGAAGATCTCAGAGAAAGTGAACAAATTTATATATATGCCTAGGAGAAATGAGATTGGACAGCCTTTTTTCTGGTTCCAGACCAAGTATCATTTCAAGTGATCACTGTAATGCTATTCAGCTCACCAAATGGATTTAGTGGCTAATCATTTGTTAACAAAAGGAAAGTGTCAAATGTTGGTCTTTTATTATGGCCCTTTGGTAGAAGTAAAACCTAAGCTTAAAGCTGATGCTTTGTTTTGCAGCATGTTGGATTGCTCGCCATTTGTTAATAAATAGAAATTTTCAAAATTGAATTAGCTGGGTTTTTAAAGTACTAGGGGATGTGCTAGGAGATTTTAGGTCATAAAATAATATCTATACTTGTGAAAAATTGCAAATATAGTGCCTCTTATTCATTTTGTGGGACAGCATGTCATATTGTGCAGTTAGAGATAATTGAAGGAATTGTTTATGGTTTAGAAAACTGTTTGCAATTTTTGAGATTGCTCCATCAGGCTTTGGTTGCAAAACAGTGTTGCCTGAAATCACATATGGGTTATCATATATTCTGTGGACCAAAGGTGAGAACTCATTATCTGTTATCCTTTTTCCAGGTGATGCAAAGCAAATCTTAAGATCTGACCGTACTTGAGAGTACATGCAATTTCAGAAACTCCAGGTTCTTTTTGTATCATGTATTACCTGAGAGTATGCAACAAAAAGTAGTATATTGGAAAAAAGTAGAGTTTAAGGCACAAACCACCTGCATTCTAAAAGCATTATTAAAAATATTTGAACTATCTAAGTTGAATAGAGCAGAAATTGCATTTGTTCATAGAACAGAGTCACTGTGTAAAACTCTAATTGTTTTTACAGTATTCTTAAAGGATAGAATTTCTTCTTGGGATGGTAGTCTAATTAAAAACTAATCTTTACTTAAAGCTGTTATGGCTAGGAATGCAGTGGAGATTATTTTCCTGTCCTTCTATTAATGCCTATTTTATTCATGCCTGAAAGAATGAAAAGTAAGTTCTCTGTCTGAGCTTCAGCAAACATAAAATGTTTGGTTTTGTTAACTGCAGTTTGGGGTAAGGTTCAGTCCTTTATATATTAGTTAATACCAAGATTAGGGTCAAGAACAAGACATTTATTTTAACATTTGTGTTTTGTCTCTTAAATGAGACATTGCTTGAGTGCTTACAAACCTGCATTGCTTGAGTGTAGCATCATTCATTCTCATCAATAAAATATGAAAAAGTATATATTAGGCATATATGTTGGTATTGATGACACAAACAACATGGTCATTTTAGAAATTCATTATAGTGAGGAAACCATAGTCTTCCTCTTCTGAAGAAATCAATTTCACAGCTTTATTAGTCTCTTATGTATTAGAAGCTCAAGACAGTGTGAATTATCTCTATGAATGCCAGATTGAAAACTCTCTTCCAAATTCCTGAAAGTTTTATTAATAAAAGAGGCATTTGTTGTTTATGTCTTACTCTCAGAATGCTTTAGAATTTATTACTGGGCACTGTCACAGAATGCTAGTGTCCGTCTTCTCTCCCAGTTATGTTTTTGTCAAACTTCATTTCCCAACAATGAAAAAAAATCCCTGGGAACATTTCTCATATCTTCCCTAGAGATTTAATGTCAGTTTGGAAAATGAGGGAATCTGAGGGCAGATTGCATAGTGAAAGAAAGGACTCTGGTGCATATCTGAGTGCCCCTTAAAGTACAAGAAACTGACATCCTACTCATGAGAATTTTGTCTTTTTCTTCTTTCGGGGAAGAAATAAAGTTGATAGGAAATGGCTATGAAATGATGCAGAAGAAAAAAATTATAATTATTCTTGAGTAACTCGTCAATTTCAAATAGGCCCTTGAATTTATATGAAGGATCTTGAAATTCAGTGATGTAAGATTAATGCTTATGAATGTTATCCTGTATTCTGATTTGTACCCATTTTTAAATGCAAGCTAAGGACAAGAACCTGGCCCTTAAGACTGGTAGAGGCTTGAGGCTTTGTGGATCTCCAAAGCTAGCCCAAACCAAGGGACTCTTGGGTATCACTAATATGGAAAATCTTTTCTATTTCATTATTTTAATCTTTTGGTATGACCACTTAATTGAAAAAATGTTAGGTTTTAATGTAGACTTTATAAGAAAATTCCAAATGATTTTAATCACAGAATAGTTATTTTAAAGGAACATGTTCAAAGACATTGATTTCTATTCTTGTGGTTTTTTTTTCAGATTTTTGGTGATTGCTTCTATGAAGAGCCATTTGACCATGTTGCTGTTGTTGTCTCTACTGCTGCTTGTGCAGGAATTTGAACAATGTGAAGGAACCCTGACACAATATCATGCACTGCCAATGCAATTCACACAAGTTCATTACAATGCAACAGTATATGAAAACTCTGCAGCTAAGACTTATGTTGGGCATCCAATAAAAATGGGCATTTACATTACTAGCTCCCTGTGGGATATAAAATACAAAATTATTTCTGGGGATAGTGAGAACTTGTTTAAAGCTGAAGAATACGTTTTGGGGGATTTTTGCTTCTTACGAATTCGGACCAAGGGAGGGAATACTGCTATACTTAACAGAGAAGTAAAAGACCACTATATATTAACTGTAAAAGCAATAGAGAAAAATACAAATGCAGAAGCTCTCACAAATGTCAGAGTGCAAGTATTGGATACAAATGACTTAAGGCCTTTATTTTCTCCAACTTCTTACAGTGTTTCATTATCAGAAAATACAGCAATAAGGACCAGTATTGCCAAAGTCAGTGCAACCGATGCAGATATTGGAACCAATGGAGAGTTTTATTACAGTTTTAAGGAGAGGACAGACATGTTTGCAATTCATCCAACAAGTGGGGTGGTCATTCTGACTGGCAGACTTGACTATTCAGAAATAAAAGTTTATGAGTTGGAAATTCTTGCCGTGGATCGTGGTATGAAATTGTACGGTAGCAGTGGGATTAGTAGCATGGCGAAATTGACAGTTCATATAGAACAAGCTAACGAACATGCACCAGTCATAACAGCCCTTGCTTTGGCTCCTTCAGAGCTGGATAAGGATCCAGCATATGCAATTATAACTGTGGAGGACAAAGATTATGGTTTAAATGGAGAGGTAGCATCTCTAAGTATTGTAGCAGGTGACCCACTTCAGCAGTTCAAAGCTGTGAGAACCGTCCCAGGAGGAAAAGAATATAAAATCAAAGCAATTGGCAGTGTTGATTGGGAGAGCCAACCCTTTGGTTTTAATCTTACACTGCAGGCTAAAGATAAAGGAAACCCTCCAAAGTTTTCCTCTGTGAAAGCAATTCATCTGCCTTCTCCCCAGTTTAGGTCTGGAGAAGCCCAGTTTGAAAGAGTAGTTTATAGAGCTGAAATAAGTGAATTTGCTCCACCGAACACACCTGTGGTTATGGTAAAAGCATTGCCTACTTCTCCCTACATAAAATATTTGTTTGCAAATGCACCAAGCAAAGCTCAGTTCGGTTTGAATCCTCACACTGGCCTTATTACTACTATAGATGCCATAAAAGCTCAACATGCACCTCATTTTGAATTTGACATAATGACAAGCAATAAAAAAGCATCTACAAAAGTATTCATTAAGGTTATAAATGTGAATACTCATCCTCCAGAATTTACTAAGACATCATATAAATCTTCTTTTAATGAGAATGTCCCTATAGGGACAAGTGTTATGAGTGTGAGTGCAAACGATCCTGATGAAGGTGAAAATGGCTATGTCACATATAGCATTGCAAATATAAACCCTGTTCCTTTTGAGATAAACCACTTCACTGGTGTGGTTACCACCTCTGAAACTATGGATTATGAATTGATGCCAAGAATTTATAAATTAAGAATTAGAGCATCAGACTGGGGCACCCCCTATCGCAGAGAGGTTGAAGTCCCTGTTACAATAGTTTTAAATAATTTGAATGATAATACTCCTCTCTTTGAGAAAATAAACTGTGAGGGAACAATTCCCAGGGAACTTGGTGTGGGAGAGCAAATAACTACTGTGTCCGCTATTGATGCTGATGAGCTCCAGTTAGTACAGTACCAAATAGAATCTGGAAATGAATTAGATTTATTTAGTTTGAATCCAAATTCTGGGGTTCTTTTCCTGAAACAATCACTAGGCGATGGCTTAAGTTCAAGAACATCTTTTCATAGTTTGAAAATAACTGCTACAGATGGAGAAAATTTTGCAGCCCCCTTGTTTATTAACATCACTGTAGTTACCAGCCGCAAACCAGTGAGCTTACAATGTGAAGAGACTGGTGTGGCCAAAATGTTGGCAGAAAAACTCTTGCAAGCAAATAAGCTTCATGGTCGTGTTGAAGTAGAGGATACTTTTTTTGATACACATACAATGAACTTGCATGCACCTCAGTTTGAAAGTGGCCTTCCCAGGAGCATTGAAGTAAAAGAAGATCAGCCTGTAGATTCTACCATCATGTTTTTGAATGCAACTGATCTTGACACTGGTTTCAATGGGAAGTTAGTCTATTCTATTTCTGGAGGTAATAATGACAGCAGTTTTATCGTTGGAATGGAAACAGGAATGCTAACCATCTTGTCTCCTCTTGACAGAGAAGTAAGAGATAAATACACTTTGAACATTACCGTTTATGATCTTGGCATACCACAAAAGTCCAGCTGGCGTCTTTTAAATATCAGAGTTCTTGATGCCAATGACAATCCTCCAGAATTTTTACAGGATAGTTATTTTGTTGATGTAAGTGAAAACAAAGAACTGAATACAAATATAATACAGATAGAAGCCATAGATAAAGACTTAGGCACCAATGGTGAAGTAAGATACGCACTTCTTACAGATACAAATGAGTTTTCTATTGACAGTGTCACTGGAATTGTAAAAGTTTCAGGACTTTTAGATCGTGAACTTCAAGCAGTGTATTTCTTAAAAATAGAAGCTAAGGACCAAGCTAAAGAGTCACCACAGTTGTCTTCAACAGTTCTATTAAAAGTATTTTTGGAAGATGTTAATGACAATCCTCCAAAATTTGTTCCTGCAAATTATCGAGTGAAAATCCGAGAAGATCTTCCTGAAGGAACTATTGTCATGTGGCTAGAAACTTATGATCCCGACTTAGGTCAAGCAAGCCAAGTAAGGTACAGCCTTTTGGATGGTGGAAATGGAAGTTTCGATGTAGATAAACTCAGTGGAGCAATCCGTATTGTGCAAGGACTGGATTTTGAGAGGAAACAAGTTTATAATCTAACAGTGCGGGCTAAAGATAAGGGAAAACCCACTTCATTGTCTTCTACCTGTTACGTTGAAATTGAAATAGTTGACGTAAATGAAAATCTGCACCCACCACGTTTTCCTAATTTTGTGGATAAAAGTTTTGTAAGTGAAGATGTTCCCGTTGGTACTTCAGTAATGACTGTATCTGCTTATGATGAGGATACAGGAAGAGATGGTGAAATCAGATACTCAATAAGGAATGGATCTGGTGTTGGAATCTTCAGAATAGATGAAGAAAAAGGTAAGAAATTACTTTCTGTTCTAAATGTTTTGAAAAGACTCACAAGAAGTCATTCTAAGTTTGTATTTATTATTTTGTTAAGAATTTGACTAATTTGCAAAAACTAAAGCATAAAGCCCAATTATCTATCCATAGGAGATTCAAATATAGAAATAATGAAATAGCACAATTTATACTGCCTTTAATTTTTCCTAAAAATGACTGGAAACGTGTAATGAAGAGATTGAAAAGTATAACCACTTCATCATGTTCTCCATATTTTTCTTTCATGATTTATTCATACTTATTTTTATTTATATAAATAACATATGATTATTGACAATTTTTTTAATTGATTGATTTTGTTGTAATTTCTTTGACTTGTGTGAGCTGCCCAAAGTCATTGAGAACCAAATTATTAATGATCCATTCAGAGTTCTAAGAAATCTAATATGTTCATTATAATTTAAAGGCTTGGTATTCTTTTATTCTCATTAATGAAAAAAACATAAATACAGAGAATATTTATTTGCCAGACCAGTTATTATGTGTATAGACATGAAATGTCAACAAAGTTGTTTTTATCAAGTCTCCTTAGAGATTTACAGATGTGAACATTAAATTGTGCTTATGAAATAATGAAGTACTCTTTATTTATTGTCAGGCCAGTATTATAACTCTGAACTGATTGCATAATATCTTTGCATGTGAATTGTCTTAAATATAATTTTTTAGAATGTAACGGAAAAAAAACCCAGTTGTCATTAATTAATTTGCATCTCATTCAGATATTTCCTAAGACAATGGTTGAATATCTAATATTGTTATTAGAGTATTAAATAAAACTATTTAGACAGATTACAGGATAGAAATATATCCATATTTGTCTTTCTTGCTTTCCCTTAAAAAGAACAAGAAGAGACACATAAACTTCAGTTAGACCTGCATAATGAGTTGTAAGATGGAGAATATCTGGGCACATTTTTCTGCTGTCTTTGTAACTTAGGCCTATTTTACTATTCAACCCTTTCCTTGCAGTTTCTGCTTTCTCCCACTGTTAAGGACATAGGGATACTATCTGCTTACCATGCAAATATGATCTAATCTACTTTTGTTGTTACTGTTGTTTCTAATCTCTCATTTGTTCCTGATACAAGAATTTTATTCCTTTCTTTCCTCTTCTGAATGAGAACAGTGAAGAACTTTTCTGCTTGACCTTTGTAACTATTGAACAAATGTCCTTGCTGGCTTGTGCTGATTAACTGTCCTGCTCTCTTGTGAAGCAGTATGCATGCAAGGTTACCATGTTGCTTTCTTTTGGAGACACTTGGCTTGCTTTCATTTGTCCTATTTCACTAGTTTATAAGTAATATGAAATGAGAAACAAATTGGGGACTTAATAGGCTAATATTTTGTTTATTGCACATTAGAAATCTCTGGAATTCTTGCATGACTTTGCACTCGAATCTTGTGCAAATTGGTTATGGATTAGATACCTATAGCACAGTGGTGGTGAACCTATGGCACGGGTGCCAGAGGTGGCACTCAGAGCCCTCTTTGTGGGCACTCGTGCCATCGCCCCAGTCCTAGGCCTTCAGCTGGGTTTTATAAAACCTTTCCGCTTTAGGCCTCCACCGCCGTGTGCAAAAAAAAAGGGTTCAATCAATCAGTCAATTTCAACTTCTCGTGGGAAAAAAATCTTGCAAAGTTGGAATTGATTGAACTTTTTAGTCCCACCCAGTCTGCCATTACCAACGCAGCCGTGCCCAGCCAATGGGCCACACCTACCCAATTGGCCACACCCAGCCAATGGGCCACACCCACCCAGCACCCAACGATGCATAAGTGGGTTTTAGGTTGCAGTTTGGGCACTTGGTCTCTAAAAGTTTGCCATCACTGCTATAGCAGGTTCTCAAAAAAGTATTAGGATTGTGTACTGAAAGATGGTCAAGGAAAGCAGCATGACATTTTGCTTCACACATTTTGCACCACACAAACTGCTTTTTGTTTAACAAGAAAAATGGAATTTTTGAAATATTTTGTTTTCTTTCAAAAAAAGCACACTTTAAAAAAATGAACATAATCTGGTGATTATTACTGTTTCATTCAGAATGCTTGGTAGGTAGATATAGAAAAAATATCTGTTTCATAATTTCCAGTACATTTTCAACATAGATTAGAAATCACATGGTAAAGACATATTCCAAAGTGAACGTGATACAATTTACAATGTTTTTATCTGGGATATTATTTTAGCATGTCTGATATATAAATTTATATATTTAATATAATTTTTTTGTTTTTGGAACACAGGTAATGTTGGTTTCTTGTGTAACCTAAGATTTTTTTTTTCTAGTCAGGATAGCAAGAAAAGGAAAATGGGAGACAGTTTTTTGATCCCATAATATGTCGTAAGGCTTTGTACCTATAAAACAGAAATAGACCAGTTTTTTGTAGTGGTTAAGGCAGCAGGTTAGAAACTAGGAGAGCATGAGTTCTAGTGCCGCTTTAGGCAATGAAAGTCATCTGGATGACTTTGGGCCAGTCATTCTCTCAGCCGAACTCACTTCATGGGTCGCTGTTGTGAGGAAAATATTGGGGAGAGGGGCAGTCTATTAGTTGTGTTTGCTGCCTTGAGTTATTGATAAAAAATAATAAATGCGGATATAAATAAAAAATAAACAATTTCCTGATAGATACAGAACCTTTCTTAATGATTGTGGCCCCATTTATTAAGATGTGGGTCTATAAAGTGAGCAATAGAGACAATTAGTGCCGGAAGAGTAACACTAGGAGAGAATTATAATGTCTATAATTGTTCTAGTGCTCAAAATCCTCTGTATGCTATGTACTCTTGTAGTTCGTGGTGATGACCAGAAGTAGGCTGGCATCATTTTGGTAGCTGGAAATTTAACTTAATGGAAGAGAGCTAGGAAGCAAAATAGAGAGAGCTACTTTGCACAAATGACTGTTTTATAGTATTTTAGGCCTTACACTATACTGTTTGTTTTATTTTCCATTATAAAAATACAGAAATAATGTGGGTTGCTTTCCAAAATATAATGGAAATGGTTTTCAGTGGTCACAAGGTATGTGTATGTGTGTCTGTGTGTGTAAGAGGAAAAAAAGAGAGAGAGAAAGAGAGAGAGGTTTTCCATTCCTGATCTGGAAAAGTGTGATTTAAATATTGCAATGATATATACTGATTTCTTGAATGACAACCTTGTTCCTTTTACAAAGTATATGTACTTTTTCTCAACAAAATTTTCTCATTTGTGGCGGTGGGTTGGTGGAAGGTGAGAGGGGTGAAGAGCAGAGAATTTAAAAGCTTATAATAACTTTGTGTGCAGGGCACTTTGGAATAAGAAAAATAAAATTCCCGTGAGACACACTTGGTTTATAAAACTTTATAGTTTAAAAAAAATTAAAAAATATTTTGAAAAAGAAAAAAAATTATTACAAGAAAAAAATGTATTTTTTAGAAAAGTATAACAAATCCTGTCCACATCTCTATATAAATATGTGTAGGATTTGTTGTAATTAGCCATGTTTGTTATATTTTTATATAGAACCTGAACTACATGGTCAGATAAGATAAATTCCATATATTAACATTCTGATATGACTGCAAAATATATATTACCTGTGAAATTCAAGTTCTGTATTTGTGTGCAAGATAAAAGCATCTGGTTATTATTTGTAAAAAGTAGCAGAACCTGTTTAAGCCTTTAATTAAGCTATTTATGCTGACAAAAACTCAACAATTTATAGTTACTAGCTTAGAATGTTTTACTGGATAGAAGGTATAATATTTAGCAGCCTTTTAGTGTATCATCTGAAAATATATTTAAAAGCATAACCAGAAATAGTTGACTGTCATAGAAAAAAATAGCCCATACTAATGAAAACCTTTATTACTGTGGGAGTTTTTACATGTAAGTTTACTATTCTTCTGCTGTATTATAGAATGTGCTGAGAATGAAGATAGTCTTTAAATATCTAGTTAGATAAACTGTCCTGGAGCCTGGTTAATAAGGGCACTGACTATAAAAACATTGGATTTTCTGGGGGGTTTTTCTTTGTTGAAAATGAGTATTGTTTAGCAGTGACCCCTTATTGACTAGGTCATATCTTTGTCCGATGAAAACAGACTAGTTTTAGGAGAACTAAGAGTAGGTGTGAAACAGTTTCTCCTGAGTTTAAGATTGCCTAGATAATTTCAAGTGTTAAAGTACCCATGAAGATGGATTGAATTTTCCAGATCTGTCTTAGGAAAGTACTCAACAAGTAATGAAATAGTGCAGGAAAATCATTTATCAAAAATTAAAAAAATGTGTCTAGTTATATAGTTGCTGATACAACAATCACACTGGAAATTGTACTAAAATTAAGATAAGAAATACAGGGTAGAACTGGCAATATGTATGGTTTTTCTCTTATTTAATCATAAATTATTTTCTATTTAGGAAGAGATTAATCGTATGTAGTGAGTGGTACAGTTCTGCTTTTTATATGTTATGATGAATATCGTAATATATAAGGCAGGAGTATCCAACTCCCCAGAAGACAAACTCAGGATCCAAAAAGATCTTGACAAACTTGAACAATGGGCCCTATCCAACAAAATGAGTTTCAGTGTGGAGAAAAGCAAAGTTTTACAGTTAGGCAGGAAAAATCAAAGGTAAAAGTAGAGATTAGACAAGACCTGGCTTAAAAATAGTAACTATGAGAGGGACCTTGGAGTCCTAGTGGATGATCACTTAACTATGAGCCAGCAGTGTGCAGCAGCAGCCAAAAAAGCTAATACAATCCTGGGTTGTATAAACACAGGCATAGAATCACGATCATGCAAAATATTAGTACCGCTTTATAAAACCCTAGTAAGACCACACCTGGAATACTACAGCCAATTTTGGTCACTATATCACAAAAAAGATTTTGAGAGTTTGGAAAAAATTTAGAGAAGAGCAATTGATTAGTCTAAAGCAGTGGTGGCGAACCTATGGCACAGGTGCCAGAGGCGGCACTCAGAGTTCTCCCTGTGGGCACCCGTGCCATTGCCCCAGCCTTGCCTCCCCCCGTGACCTCTCCAGCAGCCCCCCCTGAAGGAGAGTCGCCCCTGAGCGTTGCCCACGCGGAGCAGCGCAGCCAAGGACATGGCAGCCAGGCAGCATAGACAAGACTCTGCCCTCACACCCCATCGTGCACAGTTGATGCTGCAGGGCGCGTGTACAGGGCATGACCACCATAAGGCTGCTGGGCTGCCTGGGCGATCTGCAGCGGGCCCTGGAGGTGGTGAGTGGCCCTGTGAGCAGGTGGGGTGGGAGATGGGGCGGAGTAGGGGGTGGAGTGGGGGCAGGGCCAGTGTTTGGGCACTCGGTCTCTAAAAGGTTCGCCATCACTGGTCTAAAGAAAAGAAGAAATAGGGGAGACATGATGGTAGTGTTCCAGTATTTGAGGGGGTGCCACAAAGAAAAGTGGGTCATGTTATTCTCCAAAGCACCAGAGGGCAGGACAAGAAACAATGGTTGAAAACTGATCAAAGAGAGAAGCAACCTGGAATTAAGGAGAAGCTTCCTGACAGTGAGGACAATTAACCAGTGGAACAGGTTGCCTCCAGAAATCATGGGGTTCTACCACATGTCAGATTAGCGTATCTTTTGCACGAACAAGAAGGGGGTATGGTGCATTCCTAGAAGGGCATACATTGGTCATTTAGTCTTTTAATAGTTACATTTCAGATTTAACATCTTTCATATTTTATATTAGTTTTTAAAATTGTAAAAGGAATAACACAAATAGGGAGTCAAGTGGCAAATAAATTTATATTAATATTATATAAGAGTTAATTGTTGGGTCCTTCACCTAGTTCTTTATGACTTATAATTACAATAATTTCATAAGCGGGTTTTTTCCTCTGTTATCACTTATCTTTCATCACTGATTAAAGGATGGTGGTAAAGACTTTATTGTGCTGTTATATATTGTCATCTATCCAATTTATGGGAATATATAGCTTTGTATGTGTTCGTCAAAGTTCATTTTGGTAGTTGATCAAGCGGGGTTGCTTTAAATCATGAAGAAATTCTGTCTAAAAAAGGTAGCTGAATGTACTGCAGTGTATTCTGTTGATTGCAATGACAATTGCTCAGGTTTCTGGTGGATTGTGACCTTGAAGTCTGTTAATTATTAACATATTTTTTAGGATTTTTTTCTATCTCTAATTCTCACTGAACTGTATCTAACATGAAGCCAATATAGAAGTATTCTTCTAAAAAACTAAATAAGATTGTTTGTTATTAAATCAAATAACAATAGCCTTATTTTTTTTTCTATTTTTTTTTCAAAAATTCAATTTTTTTTCAAGATAAAATGTACTTTAAACATTTGTGATGTGCAGAACATAGTTTTTAATGTTAATTAACATTAATATTACTGTGCTAATACAAAGTTAGGCTTACAAAACACTACAAATATCCAGCATATTTCATAAAACTGAAACATTGGACACTTTCTGCTGGGCTGGGATGAGACATTGGGCAAATTTTGAAAGCAGTTGAGGAAGAATAACTAGATCTAGATCAGGAGTCCCCAACCTTTCTGGGTGGGTGGCCTGGGGCAGATGGTGGTGGAGACGCCTTTACACATGCGAATGCATGAACGGGGCCACACGCGCACGAACGGGGCCATGATTGCGTGCATGATGCAAAAGGGGCCACAAGCGCCTGGGCAATGCTCAGATGACACTAGTGCCCGCACAATGCCGTGATACTACCACAAGTGGGGATGTTGCCCTTGCAGTGACAATAACGCTGGCATGACGCTGCGATGTTAGCACTAGTGGGGGTGCACTCGTGATGCTAATGCCTGCCCGATGCTCACGGCATTGCTAGCACTCGTGCGATGCCAGCACAAGTGGGGTGCGAGTGCACATACGCGCACGCACTGGCCAATCACTCACGTGGCCCAATGACCAATAGCCCACGGTAGTGGACCACAGACCACAGGTTGGTGACCCTTGATCTAGATTACAGTTGTGTTTCTCAAGATTCACAAATCACACATTCAAAAACAAAGAATATGAACATTTAATCATAACTACTGCTGTTATGAAAAGGTTATTAGTTATTTTAAAAATTAAGCCAGAATTCCAGGATTGTAATTGAACTGGCCAAATTAAAAAATAGATATTCCTGATTTGCATTTGGAAATGTTTAATATGCAGCAAAATAAGATGCAGCCATTGCCCAATATTCAAAATTTTGTAGTAAATTTTCATCATGTATTCCTCTTCGGTGTATTTACATGACATTCTTTTTGTCTGGGGTCTGACATACATTTTATATTTCTCTCCTGTTCCTGTCTTTATGCTAGCTTCTGGGAATATCTTGGCAGTTCAAGATTGTATATGTTATATTAATAAGCAGTCTAAGATCATTGACCCTAGAAAGAGCAGTGAGCTCAAGGGAGACCATTTAATAAGATAGTTTCATTTTTTTTTAAAGTAAATACTGCAGCTTCTTAAAGAAGGCAGCAGTAGTTACTTCTTATTTGCTTGCATTATATGATGTTCATTTCTGCTTGCCTTGTTCATCTCTGATTAGGGGTTTCTATTTAACACATCTGTGATGAGAAGACCTCACAAAAAACAGAAAACCATTATAACAATTTTATATAGTTGTTATGTTTTTGCTATCTATTATTTCAGAATAAATTAAGAATTAAACTCAGTGAATTAATTTTTACCCCCAGATTAATTTGTTCAGAAGAATGAATAAGAAGTGTTTTCATTTTTCTTCATGCTTACAAATCTCTAGGAATAAAATAACTTGATATTGCATTATTCAAGATTTTCAAGATAGAAATAGCAATTCTCCAGCATGAGGATGGAGAATCCACGAATGGGTTTAGACTGTCTTCCTGCCCAATTAGACTAAGTCTGACAAAGTAGCCACGCCTCCTGCTGGGTCCTGTGCTTCCCAGACATGACTTAGTCTTCAGCCCAGCAGGACATGATTGTAGTTGGCTCCTTTGTCAGACTTTTGGACAGGTTGTAGATTTCCTTTTTACCCCCTTCGTGGATTCTCCTCGTTAATTTACAGCGCTGGGATCAGCGCTGCTCCAAACGCTCAGTGAATTTAACTTTTTCCCAGCCAACTTAAATTGCTTTTAAAGTTTTCTTATAGTGCTGGGTTCAGCGCTTCCAGCAGGGAAAGGAGAGCCCTCGCTAGGCCAGCTGAGGGCCGAATGCCGGCCCCAAGACAGCTGAGAGCCGGCCGGCTAAACGCTGGCCTCTAACCTCTGCGGCGGTCCCGTTTTTGGAGCACCGATCGCGGCCGGCATTTTTGGACAGCGCGGTTAGCCTCCTCTGCATCCAAGCCAGCTGGGAGTCAGCCGGCTGAATGCCGGCCTCAAGCATTCGCCGCAGTCACGTGTTTGGTGCGCCAATCGCGGGCGCCATTTTTGGACCGTGCAGTTAACCTTCGCTTCAAGGCCAGCTGAGAGTCGGCTGGCTGAACACCGGTCCCAAGTCACAGCTGTGGTCTCGTTGTTTGGCACGCCAATTGCAGCCACCATTTTTTTGGACCGTGCGGTTAGCCTCCTTTGCCCAGCTGAGCCTCAGCCCCAAGGCCTTATCTGCGCTCCCGCCTTCCCAGGTAAGACCAAAAAGAAAAGAACTTGTTGAAAGAGAAGTAAATTTGAGCTACTATTTGAAGTTTGCTGGTTAACGGGATTCAGACATTCCTCTTGACACTATAGGAGACTTGTGTAGGTAGCAAAAAAAATTAGGAGAACTTTGATGATAAAATGTGTTTGTCAGTGCCTGCTCTTTGAGTACAGTTCTACCAGTGATGTAGGGAAATAATGACAAATTTACAAATCCAGTATCTCTGCCTTGTCTTTTCTCATTTCTCTCAGAATTTGGAGTCTTACGGTAACTGCAAAGGAAAACTACAGTGTAGGGTTACTGTCTAGAGTATTTTAAAATATGGCA